TCAAAACCCAGGGAGCTCTCCTGTCTGTGGTTTAAGAGAGAGATGATGACAAAAGTGGGATCAGAGAGAGGTGCTGTTGTTGGCTCCAAAGATAGAGGAAGGGGACCCACGTCAAGGAATGTGGGCAGCCTCTAGGAGCTTGAAAAAAGCCAGGACACAGATTCTCCCCCAGAGCCTCCAGGTGGCAATGCTGCCCTGCCCACACCTTGATTTTAGCCCAGTTCAGATTTATAATCTACAGAAATGTAAGATATTAAATTTATGTTGTTTCAAGTCACTAAGGCTACAGTAATTTGTTGCAGGAGTAATAGGAAATGAATAAAACAATCAATGCTGTTTGCAATTGAATATTCTTTATGGTTCAATTTCTATGAGTGCACTAACTACACAATTATGGCCAAGTTCTAGACACCAAAAATGTTTGTCCAAGAGTCCATATCAAATTCACTTTTAATTCATCCATATAAGTAATTTAAAATGTAGTTTTAATAATTTTAACAAGTTTAAATAAACTTATAACATTACCTCTTAAAGTACATTTTAGGAATTTTTAAAATGTGATCCTTAACCTCAATGACTAGAGAAAGTGCTATAGGAAATTTTTAATTAATTAAAATATTATTTCAAAAATCTCAACTATTTAAAAATAAAAGTTAAAGCCATTACCCAAACATGTTATATAGCAAACGTTATTGCCTCATCTCTGTGCATATATTGGAAAATCTTACATACTTGTCATTGTTTGAGAGGTTTTGCTTCTGCTACTCAGAGAGCCAAGACCAGCCTAACAGTTGTTAGTCAATTTTACGATCACTTTATATCTTACTGTACATTTTGGGCAGTTTTTCTAACTTTTATTTGTATGATAGTGAATATAACTAGTTGTTCAACTTTGTTATTGTAAAATTTTTAAGTGGAAAAATACAGCTTCTGAGTGTATTTAATTGAAAAATATCAGGACACTGCAAGGTTAACTGTTCACAAACATGGACACCATTTCACTTTCTTTCCTTTTTATTGAGATAGAGTCTCACTCTATTGCCTAGGTTGGAGTGCAGTGGCATGATCTCGGCTCACTGCAACCTCTGCCTCCTGGGTTCAAGCCATTCTCCTGCCTCAGCCTCCCACGTAGCTGGGATTACAGGTACATGCCACCACACCTGGCTAATTTTTGTATTTTTAGTAGAGCTACACCATAATGGCCAGGCTGGTCTTGAACTCCTGACCTCGTGATCTGCTTGCCTCGGCCTCCCAAAGTGCTGGGATTATAGGCATGAGCCACTGCACCCGGCTCACTTCACTTTCAATTGCTTATTGGTATTAGAATCGGCGTCTTCCTGAAAGTGGACACCCATCATGTGGAAACAACTTAGGCACCAAACTGATTTAGATGCAAGTATCCTCCATCACTCCAAGTTACCAATGAGTGTTTTCATTAGGAGAGTGTTATTATTCTCATTTATGAATAGTGAATCCTATACATATGAATTAATGCTACACATGTAAAGTGGTTCAAAAACTTATACTTTAAAGCACTCTTTTGTATTTTGGGAAACCAAGTTTTTTTTTAATTTGATATTTTTTAAATTTGATATTATGGAACATTGTGGTTTATGACAGCAATAGATTCCTAATTGATTTCTTTACTGCCAATAATTTTTTTTTTTTTTTACTAGACTTTAAAAAAAAGAAGCAGGTTTAGGTTCACAGAAAAATTGAGCAGAAAGTACACGGCTCCCAAGTACTCCTTTCCCCAGCTATCAACATCCCCCACCACAGCAGTCCATTTGTTACAATCAATGAACCTACATTGACACGTCGTTATCACCTGAAGTCCAGGGACTGATTTTAGCATTCATCCTTAGCGTTGTACATTCTATGTGCTTGACAAATATGTCCAACATGACAGTATCATATATAATAGTTTCACTGTCCTAAAAATCCTCCCTCTGCCCACAACCCCTGGCAACCACTGACCTTTCTATTGCTTTTACAGTTTTGCCTTTTCCAGAGTGTCATATAGTTGGAATCAGAGTATGCAGCCTTTTCAGATTGGTTTCTTTTACTTAGGAAATAGGCGTTTAAGTTTCCTACATGTCTCTTTATGGCTTGGGAGCTCCTTTCTTTGTAGTGCTGAATAATATTCCATTGCATGAATGTGCTGTGGTCTGTTTATCCATTCTCCTATCAAAGGACATCTTGGTTGCTTCCAAATTTTGGCAACTATGAATAAAGCTGCTATAAACACCTGTATGCAGGTTTTGGTGTGGACATAAGTTTTAATTCATTTGGGTAAATGCCAAGGAGTACAAATTCTGGATCATATAGTACCAGCATGTCTAGTTCTGTGAGAGACGACCCAGCTGTCTTCCAAAGGGCTGTGACACTGTGCATTCCCCCAGCGGTGAATGAGAGTTCCTGCTGCGCCACATCCCCACCGCATTCAAGGTTGCCAGTGTTTCAGATTTTCTGCCATATAACCGTGTACATCCAGTTTTGCTCTTATAAGATCTTATACGGTTGCTGAACGTAAATTTGATCCTGCCACTCCCTGATTTTCAAATATAATAACCTTTCTTTGCTCACGCATTGGAAGTGCCACTTTCTGTCACTGTATATAAGACTGTCCACCCCCGGCTCCTACATTCACTCTGACCACCATCACTACACGACACACCAGAGACAGGCTTCCACATTCACTCTGACCACCATCACTACACGACACACCAGAGACAGGCTCCCACATCCACTCTGACCACCATCACTACCACGACACACAAGAGACAGGCTCCCACGTCCGCTCTGACCACCATCACTACCACGACACACCAGAGACAGGCTCCCACGTCCGCTCTGACCACCATCACTACACGACACACCAGAGACAGGCTCCCACGTCCGCTCTGACCACCATCACTACCACGACACACCAGAGACAGGCTCCCACGTCTGCTCTGACCACCATCACTACCACGACACACCAGAGACAGGGAAACAGATGTGGCTGGTCTCACAAACCGTTTTTACTACTCTCCAGATTTATTCCTAGTACTTTATGCTCATTGTCAACTAATTCCAGAAAGGCATTCGCTTTTATGTATTTCCCCGAGTATGTGTGAATTGTCTTTAAGAATTTATGTTACTGCTATAAATATCTTTTTAAAACAATTTATACAAGCACTTTTCTTTCTGGCAGTGTTGTGTAAGTCCACGTGCGCACAATCCCCTCCTGGAACTGAGCACTTAAAAGGCTCTGTGAGTGATTTAAACACATTTTTACAGCATGACAGAATGAGGGAAGCTATTACAGAAAGAAATAAGGTTTCTGGTGAGAACACATGCATAGTGTGCAGAGCTCTGCTGATCTCTGCAGACCTGGACCTGGGCCTCCACAGGCCCCACACATGCAAGGAACAGAAGCAAAAGTAAAATAAGGGATGAACATATTTTACAGTTCATTTGAAGGTTCAGGGAAAGATCAATAATGTTCAATGAAGAAAGCCACAAAAACTTCTACATGAGATTTCATCAGATTTGTTTGTCATGTTCCATACGCAATTTTATTTATTTATTTATTACTTATTTATTTATTTATTTAGAGACAGAGTCGCACTCTGTCACCCAGGCTGGAGTGCAGTGGTATGATCTCAGCTCACTGCAACCTCTGCTTCCCGGGTTCAAGCGATTCTCCTGCCTCAGCCTCCAGAGTAGCTGGGACTACAGGCACCCGTCACCACGCTCGGCTGATTTTTTGTATTTTTAGTAGAGACGGGGTTTCACCGTGTTAGCCAGGATGGTCTTGATCTCCTGACCTTGTGAGCCACATGCCTCGGCCTCCCAAAGTGCTGGGATTACAGGCATGAGCCACCGCGCCTGGCCCCATATGCAATTTTAAAGAAAGCCAATACAATAAACTGAATTCTTATGAGTCATACATAAGTACTTGTGATTAATTCATTTAAAATGCCCCATTGTAAATTCATTTACCAGATATCTTTCCGTTTTGATTTTAACTTAAAAATTGTATAGATTTGATATCTGATATTCCTTTTATATATACTCTTATACTTAGCAGTAGATGTTGTCTTTAGGTACTTGTAAAGGATTACTTGATAACTATGATATCTACTATAAGTAAAACGTTGCAAGATAAAATACTATGAAAAATTAAATCATCTTACAATGGTTCATGAGACAAATATAAGTAAAATTAAAGAAAAATGTGTATCTTTCTACTTAGTAGACAAATCACCTTGCTTTAAGGTAATGTTAAATCGGCCGGGCACGGTGGCTCACGCCTGTAATCCCAGCACTTTGGGAGGCCGAGGTGGGTGGATCACCTGAGGTCAGGAGTTCGAGATCAGCCTGACCAACATGGTGAAACCCCAACTAAAAATACAAAAATACAAAATACAAAAATGCAAATATACTAAAATACAAAATACAAAAATAGCTGGGCGTGGTGGCACGTGCCTATAGTCCCAGCTACTCAGGAGGCTGAGGCAGGTGAATCACTTGAACCCCGGGAGGCAGAGGTTGCAGTGAGCTAAGACCGTGCTACTGCACTCCAGCCTGGGTGACAAGAGCAAAACTCAGTCTCAATAGATAAATAAAGAAATAAAAATTAAAAATAAATTTTAAAAAGATAATGTTAAATCTAAAATATTACGTAGGAATTTTGTATACTTCCGAATAGTATGCACAGCTCATTAGCATAAGAGTCTTTTGGTAAATCAACTGTTGATCAGTTTCTGAATGTTTCCATGTTATGGATGGTCAAGTTGCTCACAGCCTTATCGAGATCACCTATTTTGTAACGTGGCCCTTATGCGACAAGGTCTAGAGTGAGAATGCCCAGGCAGTCAATACCAAAACCATCATCAGTTTTCTCTGTGTGTGCAGGGACACTGTGATCAATCGCATGGCTGTTTGACAGACGCAGCACCAGGCTAGGCATCCCTCACACAGCATGCACACCCCGGGCTGGGACTGGTACTCACAGCTGGAGAAAATCAGCGGGCAGGAGTGCTCGTCCATGGGGAAGTTGTGCAGCTGCAGCTGGCACTCGGCATTGATGGTGAGCCTGCGGAAGAGCCAAGCGTCAGTCCAGGTCAGCAAACAGCACGGGGCAAGGCTGGCGGCTGCTACGGCACCCCATGTAGGGATGGGGAGGGCCGCTCTGTCACCCAGGGCAGCACACGCAGCTCACTCTTGGCCAGGGAACCATTCACGGTGAGACTGCTGTGTTGCTTTCATGTTGAGTTATTTTGTTTTGCTTTTAACTATCAGTGGCACAGAGAATTCCAGTTAGTAAAATTCCAACTATGTCTAGAAATACACGCCAAGTCAGAGAGGAGACAAAACCAACTGTTGTTTTATAAGTTGTTGTTGTCAATCTGTTTGAATTAAATCCTTCCTCCATTTGGACACTGGTGTGTTTATCTAAACAGCTATTATGCCAAATTAATGCACGCATCGGGGGGATTTCCTGTTTGGACAACTGCCCCATATTTCACTAGGCAGGTGGTGGCTCTGCCAAACGGGGGCCCTGCCTCCTCCCAGGGCAGTAGCCTCATACTTCAGTGTCTACACGGGGTCCCAGAACTGGCTGGGTCTTGGCCCCGGCTTGCTGAGGCTTTATGTCATGTCAGAGTCTCCGGTGTATGGCTGTACAACTGATGAGGAGACAACTTCTACAAATCCCAGCTCTCAACGTATTTCATCCGCACAGTTCCCAGCTGTGGCTTTTTTTCTTTTTTTGCTGTAATTGTTCCCTCCCTGGCAAAACGAGGATTTCCCTGAAACTTTAACACTCTCTCACCGTCTGCTTATTTTAAAGTCCATCTGGGCCTATGTGTGCGCTGTGGACGTTTATTTAATGTTAGGAATCAGATTTCTCCTTGTGGAACTCTCAGTACGCACACGGCTTTCATTCTCAGGATGGATGAGCTAAGCCAGTAAGGATGGGTAAAGAGAGGAAAGTGACAGGGGTCAAGCCCTGAGGCAGAAAGAGCAGAGCCGGGAGATGTAGCCACAGAGCAGGTGCAAGAAGCAGCCCTGTGCCCTGGGGCAGTGACAGCGAGCCGGTGAGAGCAAAGGCTAGAAGCACCCAGGGCTTCTGAGCCATCAGGAAGAAGGGAGTGCAGTGACCTCTGGAGCAGCACCAACCGCTCAAAGGACACTGCTGGAGGGACCGTCCAGTCCCTGTGCTGGGTGAGCAGACAGGAGTGTGGAGAGCCCATCATTGCTAGTGCTGTGTTGCTGTGTGTTCAGTTAGACTCTGACCATCCCAGCAGAAAGACCTGGGGGAGACAGGCTCCCAGTGGTGACTGTGGGCGAGTCAGTTTCCTTCTTGGAAGCTCAGTTTCCCTTACCTCTCTGGGTTTCTTGGAAGACTTCCCTGCCTCTAGGAGGACACACTCCAGGGGAGCTGCCACTTCCCTCAGGGATGTGCTTGGGAAAGGGGCCTACTCTCCCCATCTTCCTTGTGGTCTCAGATTTACTCAAACTGCATTTGTTGGTTAGTGCGCCGACATCTGTCTTTTCCTAGGTGAGAGGACCCACGGTGTAAATCTATTAAGAATAACTTTCACAGCCTACTTCCAGCAGAAATGGATTCTGAAGAAATGAGCTTATATTCTCTGTAGATCACCTGTATGCTTTTATTTTTACACGTGTGGCATGAGGGCCAACTTTCTCAGGATGCTGTAGCATGTCTCACGTGAAAGAGAATAGACTTAGAGACGAAAATCGGGTCTCATTCCTACAACGATTCAAATTAAGGATCCCATTTTAAACCAGGAGTAATCGGAGATCGACGCAGCATCTTACCTCAGAGTGTAAAGGATTTTCCCGTCATTCCAAATCCGGAGGAGCTGGTTGGGGGTAGTGATCCAGTGGGCCTCTGCGGTTTTAGAATTGCGGAAGATGGTGTCTGGGATCCAGATCAACCCCACCATGTTGCTGTTCAGAGTGAGAATTTTCATTGTGCTATTGAATCGAAGGCGACTATCTGTCCAGGTCTGAGCAAAAAATATGTCAATTTGGTATTCCTGAAACAGAGCAGAAGGAGAGGCAAGGCAGTTCTATTAATAAATGTTCTGTATAATTTGTTCTCTTTGTCAAACGCTCTGTGTTCTCTCCATGTCGACATCCTCACCTCCCCAGTTCTCTTTCTGATAGAGACTGCTTCAACATGGCAAGCACTCAGTGAATGATGACCGATATTATTCATCAACAGTATAGTAACATCATGTGACATAACGTAAACCTTAAGTTGCAATAAATAGATGAAGTGTGAAGAAGAGCTAAGGGAGACAGTAGAATCTGTTTCAGGGTGTGGAGGCAAACCCTAGGCTCACAAGTCCAAGCCCTGACAGGTAGCACGACCTACTGGAGCCTCGATTCTCTGATCTATAAAGTGGGGGACACAATAGTGTCCACCTCCTCAAGGTGTTATGAAGATAAAAGGAAGTGATTAAATGAGCACCCTTAGTGCCTGGCAGAGAGCAAGTGATCCATGCATATTCGTTTATATAATAGTTATGACTATTTATACTTGAGTCTTCTCAAACAACAAAAAGCAAAACAAAAAGAAAAGTAAGAAATAAAATACAACCAAGAACTGAAGAGAGGACAGCCACCCAAGCCAAGTGCTGATTCCAAGTGCAGGCTGAAGAGGTACAAATTACAGAGGCAAAGGCCCAGGGCTGAAGCCACTGCAGTGTTCACGGTGCCCAGTAAGACTTTACTGCAGCCATCAAACAGTTAGGGCTGATTCTATCCTAGGGGCACTCTAGGAGACTCAAAGAAGTGCCTGAAGACTGGGCTGCCTCAGAGGCCATTCCCCTCACCACAGTTTAAAGAATTATTTTAGGTTCATGGTAAGAGGGATGCAGAGGCTGATTGTAAGGGATTTTTATACCTTTCATAATTTTTGTTATGCATTAGATATTATAAATGTATCACTTTTGCAGAGTCGGAATTTTGTGATTCTCAACAAATCCCATATTTACCATTTCCATTGAGTTTCCCATTTTAGAATCTTTCTGTGATAGGCAATTCAATTTCAGGTTTATAATTCAACTGGTCTTTCATTAACTAATGCATTCATTCATCATTTCCTTGCTTCTCTGAGTATGCCACACTTTTCAAACCAAGGAAGACCCAGCACTGTGCCAACAAGAAACCCCCTCCCTCCTAGAGTTTATATTCTATTCAGGGAAGACAGGCCTTAAATAAATAGGCTGGTGGTCATTCACGCCACACACAAAAATAAGGCTGGTGCATTACTAAGGATTCAAGTTAGAGGAAACAAAAGGTATCCAGGCATCCAGCACAGAGGGAATTATGGAACAGGCGATGTGAGTCTTGCGTAAGCATTTGCGCAGTTGGGGGAGCAAACGGCAGGAAAGCAGCAGCTGGGAGCAGGTTCTCAGCGAGTTTTTCCAGAAGCCTCTTGAGGCTCAGCAGCCATGGCAGGTCATGCGTGGCATCTCAGCAACCAGATGGACCCTCCCAAGTCCATGTGTATGTCTGAATGTGCCCTTGGGGACGAATGGCCTCAGCCTCATTCCCACCTTCCAAAATGTGGCCTGCCTCTCGCTGACAGACTCTGAACCCAGAGCCACACAGTGAACGTGTGTGTGTGAGCGTGTGTGTGAGTGTGTGCATGTGTGCTTCTGTCATACAACCTAGCATGTGCTGACTGATACAAAAATGGGGTTCAAAGAGTGGTGAAATGAAATGAAAGCAGGTAGCATTGATGCTTAGGGCTCAGGAATGTGGGACTGGAGGCCAGACACCCGGTGCCTCGCATGGGTGAAACCTCTAATGAGACAGAACCCGTCTAAGGAGCGGGTAGCTCTCTGGGCAGAGGTTGGAAAAGGAATGGTAATTAGAATGCGTTGAGTGCTATTCTCTGTGCTTGGTAAGTTACCACAGGAAGGAAATTATCTCCAAAAGAACCCGGTGATTTGAAAGCTGTTATAAAAGAGGAAAGAAAGACAAAGCACATTTGAGGTCTGGCGGGGCTGGGAGAGGCAAGTGCCTCTCGTCCTCATCTCTACAGCAGAACATGGAGCACAGCTTGCAGTGCAACGCCTGCTGAAACAACGTGGCAGAAATAATCACCCCCACTGCTAAAGCCTCTAAATGGATTAGGTTGCCACCCTGTAACGTCTTTACCTATGCAAATATGGCTCAAGGAAAAGAAACTAAGGTGTGGCCCTTCCACTGAAGGCTGTAGGGCCCAGATACCTATACTTCAGAGAGAAAGGGCCAGAGTAGAGCCGGGGAGAGGGAGTGGCGCTGGCCTGCAGGAGCAAAGATGCACAGCAGCTCTTGGCACTGCCCGGAGAAAAGAACTCAGATGTGGCTGTGCACATGCGAAGCTGGCCTCAGGTAGAAAGTTGGCTCAGTTTTAAGGAAGTTCTGCCAAAGGAACCACAAGTCAGGAAGAAAAATGACTACTTGAGATTGAGTGGTACTGCTGCCTGCCTGTCTTCCATGGGCAGACGGCAGCCTCTGCTTGGACCCCAAAGCAGGTGTATTATCCAACGCCCACCTTACCATGGCAAAAATGGTTAATGGAAAAAGAATACATTCCCAGACAATGGAGGCAAGAGTCCGAGAGAAAACATACCTCAGGGGCCCCGCCCTAGGGAAAGAATTAGAGCTGAATCTAAGCAAAGCCTCACCTCCGGGAACCCAGCCCATCAGGATCTGCCCAGTGGGGGCTCAGGCTGGCCCTTTCCACCTCAGAACACACACTGCGTGTTTGGAGCGGGAGGGAGGTCAGATAGGTTTCTTCGTTGACAGGTCAGTGGATCAAAGAAAACCACATCCAGACCTGATGTCTCTCCCAGAACAGGTATATATACATGGATACACAACCTTGACCTTGGGCCAGGACAAGGCTGACCTTTTGAGTTGCCTCCCTTGAAGATGGGAGAGTGTATTTTTCCCTGATGAGAAAGAGATACGCTAATATTCAGCGGCTAGATACAGATCATGACAGTCATTGGTGCTGTTTGCCAAATACCACAGCTTCCCTGCTTGCTGGCGTGTGATAGGACTGTTCCCCGTTTGGGGCTGGGTGTGGCCACCTCACTCACGAGAAGGTGAAACACAGGCAGAGTGGTGTGTGCCACTCCTAGAGGGCCCTGGAAGAGCCCATGTGGGACCTGCTCACCCATTCAGGCCCTGAGGGACCGTGTGGAGCAGAGCTCTGCTGACTCACGTGAACCACGGGCCCTGGGTGAGAAGCGTCCAGAGCAGTTTGTCAGAGGACAGAGGAGCCCATCCAGACCGAGAGTGCGGAAGGCGGGAGAGGGTGAGCAGTTTGTCAGAGGAGCCCATCCAGACCGAGAGCGGGGAAGGCGGGAGAGGGTGAGCAGTTTGTCAGAGGACAGAGGAGCCCATCCAGACCGAGAGTGCGGAAGGCAGGAAAGGGTGAGCAGTTTGTCAGAGGAGCCCATCCAGACCGAGAGTGGGGAAGGCGGGAGAGGGTGCTGGGGTGTGCAGGTGCTGGGGACATGGGAAGGCCATACAGAAGCCAAGACCTAAGTGAGGTGTAGCGTGAGCCAGGCATATAGATGGTGAAGCAGCAAGTTCAAAGGCATCCCTGCAGAACAGACTGTGAGCTGACAGCCGCCTTCCCTCCAGCCTGGTGGGATTTGGGCTTAACGATGATTTCTGACTAAAATGTGTAACAGGCTATATTGGCACAGAGAACATATTCAATACTGTAACTAAAATTCAGTATGTGAGAAGGTCAGGGAGGCATATATGGGCATTTTTAAGTTTTACTTCCTTCTTTCTTTGAACACAGGTTTACTGGATTGAGGAATGAGAAGAGAAGGATGAAAATGTTCTCCCAAGCACATCCAGGGCCCGCCAATGTGATCAATAATGTCAAAGTAACCAATATTCTCTATAAAAGCCCCATTGGAATTTTGGAAAGAATCTGAAATTGTTCAAAGCTTTTTGCTTGTTTAACCTAAGTATAACAGAGAAACTGAAACTCAGAAAACTTGAAGAATTTTGCCAACATTACTCAATATATCAAAAGCATTTTGAATTACCGGACCCCCCACTAATAATTTCTGAACGGGCCTTTTCATTCCATACACAAGGTAAGACAGAGAGTGACCGGCAAACGGGGCCCTCTTGTTTGCCCTTTTTCTCCTTATCTTCTCTCTCCATCCCCATTAAGGAGCATTTGGTGCCCCTTCCCCATAAAGCACTTTAAGATGTAGTTTGAGATCGGGACAGCACAGGGCTGGATGGAAGGCGTGTTCCAGCGTCCCTCCCAGGAGGCACAGACGCCTGGGTTCCTGACAGAGACAACGACCACCCTTCCTTCCAAGGGTAAACTGAGGCCTAAGACATTGGGTAACCTTCATCCAGTCACACAGCTACTAAGTACCAATTATTCTAAACTCTCAGCCCAAATCCACTTCCCTGGATGCGACTGAGAGGGGCCGCAGCGGCTGAGTCTGGGAGATTCAGGACGTGTGGAAGAACATCAGTGCAGAAGTGTCCTCCACATTCACCTTGTTCACAAACTGTGTGACACGCTTTACCTTCCTGAGCCTCAGTCTCCTCATGTGTACAATGCAAGTGTCAGATTCCATCAAATGTAAGGAACCTTCCGACTCTGAAATTTTACATTTCTGTATCCCTGCCTAGAGTTAGCCTTTCCCTCTTGAAACTAATTTTCCATTTTTTCCTCATTTCTCCATCTTACTTTTGCAAGAAGAACATGATGGGATGACTTCTTCCTATGTCCCATCTTCCATTATTGGAAGGACTTTCACAGGTCTGAATTCTGCATGACGTATTCGAGAACCATCTATGAGGTGGAGGCTTGCAGAGCGAGGCGGGAATCCCCACCCCCATCCCACACACAGCCGTGCTCTTTCCCCGTAGCAGAGGGAAGCGTCCTACAGTGTTCGGGGTGCAAGCTCTTCTTCATTCTGAAATCCTGCCATGAATGCCACTTTAAGGCAGAGTGAGGCTGTGCATGGTGTGGATGTTTTATTGTGTCTAC